TTTAATAAAGTTAATCTATATACTGTTACTATCTCGAACCATTTGCCTGCTGCTGTGTAGTAAAGTGAACTACTACACCTCCACCTCGTATATATTTGCAATAGTCAATCACTGTACTGGGTAACCTTGTTACTTGGTTGTATTGTACCAAAAAGGCTGCAACCCTATAACAGTATGAGTAACTAAAGAAATAGAAGAATACAAAACAAGAAAAGAACAAAGAAAATATATAGCAAAACTGACAGGACTATCAGGAAGCATCTCAGAAATCTTACTGCTACGTAGTCTGAGAAACAAGGGAGTTAAATCAGTCCACATATCTTCAAATTGAAATAGAAACCAAAAAAGGACTGCAATAGAAAAAGATATGAAATCAGCTCAATCTAAACCATTTATGTTTAATAACTTTCAACTTTACTAAGTAAAAGAAGAAAAAAAAGAAACAAAATAGAAAGAAAGTTTTAAACAAGAAAGAGGAAGAAGCTAGAAAAGGTGCAGCCAAGTCTCTGTGACAGATAAAAACAACATCAGAAGAGAAGAGCAAGAATTTAGGTTAAATACAAACAAGAAAAAAAAAGAATATAGTCAAAGAGTAGAAGATCAAACAATGATGAACAGAGGTTATACACAAGGCCAAATAGCAGAAAAAAAATAAGATATACAAACTTATTTAAAGAAGAATATAGACTATATAAAAAGAAATCTGCTAAAACTGACACCCAAATACAAGAAGAACTCCCATATACAAGTGACATCCTAAATCGAATTCTGGAAAGACTTAAAAGATTAGAAGATGCAAGTAGTGCAACAGGAGGCAGTCTGGCCTATCACTCCTAAAGGCACCACAGTTGAACCAATGAATATAGACCAGAAGATTGAAGAGTTTTTGCATAATGAAAGAAGAGCCTTCGAAAGAAGCAACATGGAATTGTCTTCTGGTTATAAGAAGAAAACAAAGGCAAAAGGAAAAAAGAAGACATTAGATATAAATATCTGAAAAACAAATGAAAACAGAAAAAGAAAAAAATTAAGATTGCATGTTACAACATTAATGGGCTTAAAACCAGAGGTTGGAAATTGGAAAATCTTATAAAATAGGCAAATAAAGAAGAACTTACAATAGTAGGAATAACAAAAATGAATATTACAGAAAAAGAAGAAAAATTTTTATTATATAGGATTTTTGCCTTGAAAATAACCCTATGGCACTAGAAATTTTTTTGAGTAAACAATGATTTAAGATTGTATAACCAAAACAACTCAGATTTGATTTGTCACTAATTTTAGATATTCTGATTGCTGATCTTTGCAAATTTTAGAGTGCATTTAACCTAGGTATACATTAATCAATTAAAATTGTAATCCTAATTAATAACTATCAAGTTAAAAATATCTAGATCAAAGCTAATAAAAGAAAGAGTAATTTAGCTCATAAAATACCTATACTTTTATTTATAACATATATGTATGTATTTATCTATCTTTGATACGCATAACTAGTGATGTGCCATTTATATGATACTCAGATTTTTTTAGTTGTTAGCGTACAGTTAGGGTTGTAAAAAATATTATACAGTATAATAACATTAGTTAATATACTGTATAATAACTGTTATTATATCATCAATTTTTGGTATAATTGGTATAATATTGGTATAATATAAATTAACCAATAAAATTTAATTATATTAATAATACTAACTGCTAATAACGATCTCTTATAGAAGCTAATATGTGGTATAGAATTTTAGTATCCAAACTATTATTTTTGTATATATAATTATATATGCTTCTTTACCAATAATTTTTTGTATAGCTTTTTTTTTTGCTAAAGTAGAAATTATATAACGATTTGGTACTGTAACTGTAGCATAACTGTTTTTAGGAATTGCTTTCAATTAAATTAAATTTAGTATTTTTATTTGGGGTTTAATTTTACAAATCATTCTTACGAATAATGCTATAAGCTGCTAACCAAAAAAGACAAGCGATTAAAATTCATAGTCACATATATAAAGAAAACTAATAATATTAAAAAAGTATAGACTTTTAAGGAGTGCTATGCGAAATGCATAAAAATCAAAAAAGTAATTCGAAAAAAGCTTCGAATTTATATGAAAATTAAAAAAAAATTAATTTAGTAATAAAATAGGAAAAGAAAATAAAAAATTTTTCTTGTTACCAAACTAAAAGTCCCAAATTACTATGAATTTCCTGTTTTTACTTATATAAATTAAAATTTTTAAATGTTTTTTGTAAAGATATAAAGGAAATAAAAATTTCAATTAAAAAAAATATCGCTTTCGATTTTGAATTAATAACTCAAAAAAAAAGTTTTTTTTCAATTTACCTTAAATATTCAAAAATTTATCAATCATATATCTGATAATGGAAAAACCAAAAAGTGTTGTATGGAAACATTGGATTACTCTTGAATTAAATCAATCAGAAACTAATAAATTAAATCAGTTAACAACTGAGGAGTTTGATCAAGAAGGAATTTATGAATCAACCCGATTAGAATTAAATGAATTAAACCAAGAAACCAATAAATCAAATTAACAGGAATCTAATGATGATAAAAAACCACACCCTCCTGTAAAATGCATGTATTGTCCAAAGACTTATGATCATGAAATTGCAACTCGAATGCAAGCACAATTGGATAATGATTGTCAGAGTGCACCTAATAATGCAAAAACAAAAAAAAAAATTCATCGCAAATTTTTGAAAATTTAATTTCTAGCAACAATAATTCAATAATATCTAATCTTAATAAACCTAATAGTTTTTCTCAAAAGCGTATAAGAACTATATTTATTAATGATTTTGCTGATAATATGAGTAAAAAAGAACAAGAAGATCTCGAATTTGCATTAGCCCAAGCATTATTTGCTACAGGTGTATCATTTTTTTTTTAGAAAATCTATATGTTATTGAATTTTTTCAAAAAATTCATCCTGATTTTAAATTACCAAGTTGATCAAAATTAGCAAATAAATTATTAGATAAAGTTTACAAAAAAATAAAAAAAGAATCTAATAATAAAATTGCGAATGCACAAAGCTTGTGTATGATTTCAGATGGTTGGTCGAATATTAACCAAGAATCAGTACAAAATTTTATAATTTGTACTCCTGAGCCAATTTTTTTTAATGTAACATATTCAGGAGAAGAATCTCATACAGCTTTGTGGGTTTCAAATGAAATAATTTAACAAATAGAAATTGTTGGATCTGATAAATTTTCAGCAGTCATTACTGATACAGCAAGTGTAATGAAAGTGGCATAGAGAATTATTGCAGAAAAGTATCCTAAGATAGTATGTCTTGGTTGCACTTTGCATATAGTAAATCTTTTAATTAATGATATTTTAAAAATAGATAAAACTAAAGTAACAGTCGATAATGCAAAAAATTTAGTAAAATATTTTAAATTACATTCACAATTAATGGCAAAACTTAAACGTATTCAACAAAAAAATAATTCTAAAGAAATTTCACTAGTTTTACCTGCAATTACACGATGGGGCACCCATTTTGAATATTTACAATCAATTAAAAAATCAAAAATTGCTTTAGAGCAAGCATTAATGGATATAAGAATTCGAGAAAATATAAATTCAGATTTAAGAAATTATATATTATCTGATGAATTCTGAGAAAATTTGGATTTATTAAGTACTATTTTAGAACCAATAGTAGTTACATTAAAACAGCTTGAATCAGATAATTCGACTCTTTCATCTATCTATTTTTATTTCAAAAAAATAAAGAAGAGATTTGTAAAATTTCTTGTTTTTCTGATGAACTTAATAAACTTGTTGAAGAACGATAAGAATATACTTTTCATCTAATTTGAATGGTGGCCTATATGTTAGATCCATGGTTTTTAGAAACAAATAATTTATCAGAAGAAGCTATGGGATATTCTGAATTTACAACATTTACTAAAAAAAAATTTGATCAAGACGAATCTGTAAACTTGTTTATTGAGTTAGTTAAATTTTGCAAAAAAACTTTACCATATGATAATAAAGTTATTTGGAATTCAGCAACATCATTTACTCCATCATTATGGTACCAATTATGGCCATATAGTAATCTTCAACAAATGGCTATCAAAATTCTTTCTATTCCTACATCTTCAGCAGCTGCAGAACGAAACTTTTCTACATTTAGCTTTATTCATAATAAAGTTCGTAACAGGTTGCTTAATGATCGTATTAACAAGTTAGTCTATTTGTATGAAAACCTTCGAATGCAAAAAAAAAATATAAAGCATAAAATTAATATATCCAGTAGTAAGTATGATACTAGAACTGATCAAGAAACTAATTGTGATAACAGTGATAATGATGAATTATTCGATAATAGATTTGAAATGAATGTAATAGATTTGACTGCCAATGAAATATAAAATCTAATAATATTATACAAATAAATCTTGATTTTTAATCACATGTTATTATAAGTTATTATACCGTTATTATACTGTTATTATACTGTATAATAACTGGTTATTATACTGTATAATAACTGGTTATTATACTAAAAATATATTATACCATATAATTACATCCCTATGTACAGTACGTACAGTACGTATCAGATATAGTATATATAGTAGGATTTTTTTTACACCATAGTTTCGGAATATTTAGGAACTTATAAATGTTATGGCCTAAACTTTATAACTTATAAAATGACTGTCAAAATTTTAGCATACAGTATGTACAGTATATACAATACAGTATTTATAGTACAGTATATGGCATATCACTACATATAACTAGTGTTCAAAATCTATATGCAAACTGTAGTACACATATTGAAAATTATTTCTGCAAGTAAAATTATCTTTGAATATGCAGATTTTATTATGCATTATACATTTCATGAATCTTTTTTTGAATTTTTATGTTTAAAAAAAATTATCAATCTTTCTTATATAGGGTTTTGCCTTGAAAATAGGATTCTGAGGTCTCTCAACCAAAAATGAAATTTTTGTTAAATATTAATCTACAATATACTAAGCTTATTTTGTACAAAATTTATAACCTGTTATCTTATTATAAAAATGCATTATCAAAGTTCAGATCTTTTGACTAAATTTGGTAAGAAAATCATTTGATGATCTAAAAATAAATTGTAAACTGATTGACATGTTGAATAAATATTTAACTGCTACAATACATTTGTTATTTTTGTACTACCAAAAATTTGCCTTGAAAATAACTTTACAACAATATGTTATACAAATTTAATAATTGTCTAATGAGAAGAAATTCTGATACTATGTGTTGCTACCTTTATGATTCTGCAATATTAACTAAAAACTCTTATATCTGATTAACTAGAGATTAACACAGAGCATTTTTTTTTGTATGTCTTTTTAATTTTGCTTTACTAATTTCTAAGTTTTTATCTATAGTTGTTTTTCAAAACATAGAAGTACTGCTTTCTGGAATATACTTCGTATATAATCAGTACATAAAAGAACTTTTTCAAATATCTCTGAGTACAAATTGTGAGAGTATATGAATCAGCAGCTTACAGTATATAGTTTTGTGTTTTATATTGTATGTACAGTATTAAATAATGTGTTTATATTAATTTATAAATAGGTTCTAAAGACATTCTTAAACAACTCTTCCAACCAGTAATATAACCCTTATACAGTCAATCTTGATATGCATGAAGGACAGGTTTTGTATCAGTTTTGAAAGGTTATCAGATTTAAAAACATAACAACTATCAGATTTATATAACAGGAACAGACTTGGTAGATTAATTTTTTATTAGATTTGACAGATTATCAGTTTTGACTAGATCAGTTTTGAGGATTATTTAGTAAAATGCTAATATAAAATTTAGCTTATTGGAATAACTCTGTAGAAAAAATTGCAATTTAAAAACAACACAAAATATGATCAAGATTTTTTAGCTAGTCAAATTGTTTTGAGATCTTTTTTGTAATCTATTAATAATTGTAGTTTAAGAACAGACTAAATTAGTTTTATTGTATATCTAATTTAACTATAGCACTAAGCATAGGATAATATATAGAAGAACTTATATATTGTTCAAACAAGACATAATTTTATCAGTGATTTCTATATTTGTAACCTAATTCTTGACATTTTACTATTTTATAGCTAATATATATCTGAGTTGCAGGTAATCTTTTAATCAGCATAAGCTTGTAAATTTATATATACTGTACATGCATATATTAGAAATATGCATTAGGTAAGTTTTGAATAACATAATTTGAATGCCATATTCATTACATTATTTTATAGACATGCATGTCTGTGAAGTCATGTAATATGATGAATAGTAGATGCAAAAGAGTTATTAATGTAATTATTATAGAAATTGGTATAGCATTTATGTAACAACATGGATGCTACATATTAGTATATCTATAAAGACTAATTATCTAAAGTCATGAGGTTCTTGTATTGTTGCAGAGCCTAATAATTAAATATCAGATGTTTTTACTACTTACAGAAGCTGTAAAGCTTATTAAACAAGTGTTAATATATCTTGTTCAATCAGTGATAACATTTACACATTCCAAATAAGAACTTGTAGAATACAGGATTTTATAATGTATGCATGCTATATTATGTTGCATTATGTAATACGAAGCTAAAAAAAACCACATTCACTTATTTCTAATATATGTATTAATTCTTGCACAATAAACTTATATCATACCAATATTGTTTATAATCTTAACATGTATTTTAAAAAGATTTATAGTATTCGATTCAATTTTCTTGTATTTATAAAGATTTATTAGACATATCTATTATTTTTTAAAAAAATATCACTACTACCAACTATTAATGATTTCAAGCCTATTTATAACTTAGTTGAATTAGAATTAGAAGATTATGAAAAAAATGAACTAGTTTTAGACATGATTCATGAATTAAAATTATTTTTTCAAAATCCTAATAATTGTACTTGCTGTTGAACACCAAAACAGAAAGACCTGTGAACCTGTTTTGAAAATGTAGAGTTTAAGCATTTTTTTGAAAGGCATTTTGAGTTAAAAGCTCCAGAGGAACATGAGCTTGAACTTTTTATAAAATTGCAATTAATATCATTCAAAATTAGTGATGAAAAATTAAAAAATAAAACACAAAAGCATACATATAGATATAATTATAATAGTTCTTTACTTCTTTATAAGCCTACATATTTAAAGTTATATAAAATTAATGATTATTTACTTAGTATATTACAAAATCATTTACAATTAAATGGGTTAACTGAACGTGTTCATAGAAATACTGAGCATGCATCTAAAACAGATTCAAGAATTTTTTTAGACCTTGCTATAACATTTCCAATTAAACAATTTTTAGTGCAATATGGAACAATTCACAGATTTCCTTCTTCATTACAGCATCAAGATGATTCTGATGTCTTTATTTACCTTCCAACTGGTCAAAACTATGTTTCAGTTTATAATGAATATAAAAAAAAACTTTTATCTTACTCATAATGAATCTGAAAAAATAATCCCTTATTTTATATTTAGAAAATTATGGTATGAGATAGCTTCTAATATTTGATTTTAGCCATGTGCAAGTGATCTTTGTGAAGTTTGTACTTCTTTTAAGGCTAAATTATTAGCTGCCAAACAGAATATTGATGAATATAATAAAGTTCAAACTGAATATAATGAACATACAGAGGCTGCAAAACGTAAAAGACAACATTACAATAACAATATCGAAGAGAGTAAAAATAACTCAGATATTACACATATTTGTTACAATTGGGTGCAAAATGTTTATATATCATATTTGCTGCAACAAGTTGGTCCAATTTATTTTAAATCTTCTTTTTCTGTAAATATTTTTGGCATCTGTAAAACAGGAGAACAAAATTGTCAATTAAATTTTTTAATTGGTGAAAATGAACTTCCTGAAGGGGTCTTGAAAGGAGCTAACACTACATTAAATAAGATGTATTATTTTCTTAGAACTAAAAAAACAAAAAAATCAAGAGTAACTTGTAACAACTGTAGTAGTCAAAATAAAAACAATTTATTACTTTAGTTTTGGTCTTGGTTATGTTCATTAGATTGGTATGAAGAAATTATCATTAATTTTATGCTCTCTGGATATACAAAGTTTATTTATGATTCGTTTTTTGGACATATTAAAAAAGTTTATAGAGATAATCATGTTAATACTATTGATGATATAGAAAATATAGTAAATAATTTATCAAAAGGAAATAATGTAATTCAATATAAAAATAGTACAGGATGAGTTTGGCATAACTTTAGTTCTCTTTTTAAAAATAATTTTAAATCTTTACCAAATATAAAACAATATTATTATTTTTGATTTAATAGCTTAAAACTTAGTAAAGTTTTTGCTTCAAAAAAATCAGGTGGAGAAGAAATTTCTTTTCAATTATTGCATAATAATAACTTTGATAAAAATGGTCAGTTAAATACTATTTTTTCTGTACTATTATCAAATGACTGAAAAAAATATTTATATACAAAAATTTATCAACTTATTAATAACCCTTATAAAGATATTCTTTACCCACAACCTTAAAATAAAAAAAAAAATATTTTATAAATACAGAATTCTCATCAAAGAAGTAACAAGCCAACATTATTATAAAATCAATAATTCTAATCACATGAATAAGACATGTGAACACATATGCAAAAATATATATATATATGTAATAGTTAAAGAACAATTGATATATATATAATTCAGTTTTTGCATAATAAATATTATAAGAAATTTTAAATAAATAAATAAAAAATTGTATTGCAAGTAAATAATGTAAATGTTATAATTAAGAGATTTATAAGCATTTTATTTGAATTAGCAAAACTCTATCTTTTGGTTTTGCTATTATCTGCTTTGCATTAATAGGCTTTCTATTTCTACTAAAATAAAACAGATCAACTAATACTTTAAAAAAAATGTTGTGTTAAGGTTAAGAAGTTATGCATGAAGGAATAAAAATAATTGTGGTTTGAAGGTTATAATGTATATTATAGACAATAATATTTCTATTAATGTATAAGGTGCAATGTAGCTCTAAGGCTAAGTAGTACTAAGACTACTTGATTAATATTCAGTCATCTAGTATTTATATCAAAAAAAAAGAAGACAGAATAGAATTATTAGCTAAGATCTTTAAGTTTATTTAGTTTATATTTTATATAATTTTTAGATCTGTAAAAAAATTAATTTAAAACATGACTGTATAAACTATATATTGTAGTAACTATTGATTTCTTTTAAAAATTTGTTTTTTTTTTTTTTTTTTAGGTTTAGACAAAGTTTTGGATGCAACAATTTATATACTATTATGTAATTACCATAAATTTTTATATTCTATTCAGCTAGGTTGTTAAAAACA